AAGTCAAGTAAAAAAATACTGATCGGAAAAAAGAGAATGCAAAGGAAGGGGAAAAGTGTGGAAATTTCACCTCTGCAGCAGTCTTTGGTTTTGAAACATTAGGGACTGTATTAATTTTGTCATGTATTGCTACACATACCTCAGTGACAAAGATCCTAAAAAGCAGCAGAGTGATGTGCCATGTGAAGAGGAGGAAGGTGGCACTGATCCACAGGTAGTAGAGCAGGGAGAGGTCCAGCAGCCCAGCTATGCTGTCAAGAGGGTGGGCAGAGCTGGAGGTGGAGATCACAGACAAATACATTATTGTAGTCCAGGAAGCAGCAGTGTGTGGCTGCAAGTGAGTTTGTTTAATTATATGTAACACATACTGACCTGTTCAAATGGAGATTGAGAGTCTTACAAATCCATGCTTTTGGAATGTATCCTGTTAAAAATAAAGTGAAATATTTTGTCTATTAATCAGGGTTCTCATGCATTTTCATGGACAAAATTTCAGATCTTTCCCATGACTTTTAAAGGACCCTTGATAAAAAGATGTTCTTGTGCCACTTGCCCAGCGTTTTTTAAAACAAGTCAGGTTCAAACTCTATTCAAACATAATTTCAGGAAGCTGACATACATGAAGAGAGACAGAACACGGTGGTAAAACGAAGAAACTCGCATGATCGTACACAAAATGTCACAAACAGAAGCATATCAGAGCTACGTCACACTTACAGCTACAAAAAATAGATTCGCCATTATGTTACATTTCGTGGAAGGTTATCCACAAAAGATTTCTGTAACAATTGTATTACATATAACAATATTCCCAGACTTTTCCAGGCTTTCCATGACTGTTGGAACCCTGATCACTTCTCACAACTTGGTGTAGAATAAGAAGAGCAAAATAAAAACAGAGATCCGGTAGAATCACTAACAATAAATAAAGGCATGCCCATAAAAGAGACCTAACTGGGGCGTATTTGGGAGAAGATCATTAAACTTTTAACTCCTCTGGCACTTGGTACTACGATTTAACAACACTGTGTCACTGAAGATTTATGTGTAAATAGAGATAACTTACCCAAAAAGAAATACACGACAATGAAGTTCCTGACAGAGTAAAGTGCTTGAGTAGCGCTGCACTTCACCACCATAGTTAGGGATCCCTTAAAGCGAAGGTATTTGTATTGCTGAAAAAAAAAACAAATGGGTGAACACAGTTACCACATTGCAAGTTTTTTTCCTAAAGTTTGGGCCAGCCTGTGTAGATGGAGCTATCAGGGCTTAAGACACCTGCATGTCTGCATGTTGATTGGCAGAAGTGTTACACTAGATTTTTGTCTTTGAATAGTCACCAGTCAGATAAATGCGTAAACTCACAACACATACCTGAACAGGGTGAAAAGAGACAAAGTTCATGTTGTAGATCACACCCAGCAGACTGTGAGAGAATCCAACAAAGGCTCCAGCCAGCAGAAGGATGAGGTGATACTCGTTCAGACACATTTGGGGGGAACTTTCAGTGCTGAAATAAAATCAAGCAAATTAAACTATGGCTAAAGCATATACACAAAGCTCAGCACGATAGTTTTATGTGGTAGCTGCTTACCCATCACTCTGTGTGACAGGGTAGCCGATCATCTCATATCTGCCCCCGATGGTGACGGCACAACACCAAGCCACAATTATTCCCATGATACAGTGGGCCAGGGAGTTGACACACTGGCGAGGGTGGAGCAGCTGACCCAACAGGGCAATTTTCGAACATGCGATTGTTGGGATGACTGAGGAGAAACAGAAAAAACAACCAAAGACAAACATAAACATATGCGCTAGCTGTCAGATTTCTTGTATTTTGCTATCTAGACACAGTTCCCAACTAGGGATGGGCATCAATTTTTGATTATTGATGATTGATTGTTAAGGCTTTTGATCGATCACAAATAATTTTGATCGATAGTCGCAGTGTTTCCCCTACAATGCCTGGCATAGGTCCGGCGAGCCGCCGTGCCAATGAGACCCCCCGCCCGGCGAGTCGCTGTGCCAACGAGACCCTTCAGCCCGGCGAGCACGGCAGCTCGACGGGTCTACGAGACCCCAGCCGGACCTATGCCAGGCAAAAAAATCAGAAACAGACGGAGGCTCTCATCGCTCTCCAAAGCCTCGGCGGCTTCCCTTGAGGCCTCTGAAAACACTACGCCATTGAAAGACGGAGGTTTTGCTGAAAGACGGAGGTTTTGCTGAAAACTGAAGCCTCAACTCTGGCTGGCAACGGTTGTAAACACCCAGGGGTGAACTGCGCATGCGCGCCATTCTTTCTCTTTGGCCTTGTCAATTAATCGATAATTGATCGTTAATTTTTTTGATGATCGAATAATGAATTTTGATCATTTGCCCATCTCTATTCCCAACGCAACATTACATGAATGTAATTATAAATAAACTAAAAATTTTATATTTACTAGTAAATTAAGTAAGTGGGGTATTATTTTTAACAGTGCTATCATACAATGCATTAATTACTCTATTAATGATTAAACTGAACAATGATACAGTGTATCAAATGATTTAGTCCTACTGTATCACATGCAGACACTTAACTTCTTCTCCAGGTAGCTGTCACTTCTGATTAATTCACCCCAGATACTTTTTTGTTAGAGATGCACCGATACCTATAACAGCATCGGATATCAGGTCCAATACCATGCGCGTGTACTTGTACTCTGCAATTTTACAGCAATGTGACGTTAACCCCTCAGTTGAGCCTTTAAGCTGTAGAGGACGTATAATGTCAGCAGTTTGGAATCTTTTTAAGATAAACGAAGGAGATGAAAGTAAAGCAGACTGCAAACTATGCTCTGCTAAACTGTCAAGAGGAGGGGCAAAGTCTAGCTCATTCGACAAAAGCAATCTGATAAAACATCTGATGAACCAACCTGACAATGAGTTCAAGGAGTTTTGTTTGATTTGTATTTTGCACGTAAACTCTGAACTGATGAGCTGATTTAATGCAGCTTTGCATTCTGAAACTGACCTGTCACTCCCACAAAAGGTAAACAATTACAACCACCTCCTGCCACTTACCTGTGTAATACTCCAGGTTTAGGAAACCCACCATGATGATCACGCCACACAGCAGGATGAAGGAAAAGATGGCACTTGCACTCGTTAAGAAGGACAGGCATTCTGTGTGTAAAAAGCTGTCCACAGTGAGCATCACACAACTTCTGACAGCTATGATTTAAATCAAACAATGAACATGGTGACTGACCTGATATCGTCTGAATGGGGTGGAGGAGGCTGAACCTGCTGAGGATTACAAAAACTGCGGTGATGGGTGGCAACAACAGGACAGCCCAAGCAATACTGGCCACAGCTCTCCAGCAAACCACCTAAACAGAGCAGTCAATCATTACTATATGCACGACAAACACAATCATCAACTCACCTCAACAGAATGGTAGCTATTATGACACTGACAAAGCATCTGCTTATCTGTCCGTATGTTATGAAAAGGCATATTAGGAGTTTATGCAGGCCTACAGTTTGATATATTTTCTCCTCAAAACCCTGTTGCAACATTGCCTACACTCAAAATCTGTGAAGTATCTTAATGAAAGCAAATGTAGTAACTTATTCATCTGTAAGGACTATAATAAGACATTTAATTTTCACCCTTTCATCTTCTATGGTGTTAATGTATGTGAGTTAAAATGCCCTGTTGTTGAAAAGGTTAGAAAACAAGGACCCAGATTTTTTGTTTATCCAGTGAGTGCTTTTTACAACCAGGATTAAAGTTTAAATTTTGAGTCATCCTTTAAAGTATTTTCTGACATTTTATCAGCTAAATAAATTGACCAATCAAGAAAATAATCAGTAGATAAATTTATAATTAAAGCCTTTTATTTTGTCATTTTCTCTTTGTCTGGGGTACTTTGAGTCTGATCTTTCATGTTTAAACGCCAGATTTTGTAATTATTTAAAGTTAAAAGATTGAACATCTTGACGTATGTAATTGCACATTTACTTTGCATATCCTATTAGATGATCTGTGCGCTTAGCAAATCATATCTATCTATACAATTGGACGTACAGACGCCCTTTTTAAAATGTATCACTGCTCGATTTGATACTTTTTTTCAAACTAAAGTCTCTTAATGGTTTCAAAAATTGATTAAAAAATAGAATAACAACTGTATCTTATACTGACATGTCTTGGGAAATCTTTTTTTTAGTTGACATTTGTATAACGTTACATACAAGTATTTTTGAAACAGGTATTTTGTTAATGAGTCAATTAATTTACTTCGAGTCTTTTTTGCTGAATATGTTTATATATCGTGTCAAATTTATTAACCTTAGCCGTTCTTTTCTTTCTTGCTTAATAACTTTTTTTGTGTTTTATGTCGCTTAATAAATGCTAAAACAAATGTTAGCTGCGCTCACACAAACTAGCATAAACACAGGCTAATTTAAGTTAGCACGCTAGCTCACGCGATACATTTTTTGTTTTAAAAATAAAAAAATAAGTTCACAGACTCACCTTGCGCACAAACCAACAACTTTGCTCTGCAGAAAACATGTTGCTTGGATAAATGGAGAGCCTAACGACGACAATAATCTCTTCGGCTCTCCTGCTGTCAAACTATTTTCCACTCTTTCCCATATCGCGCCACATGCATTCAAAGGACCTCTGAAGGACCCCCGGCTAAAGGGTGTCCGTGTACTTGCCTGTTGCCAGCGTCAAAGCCAAATGAATTCAATTTATTGAAGTTGTTTGGAAAAAAAATGTATAAATTCGGACAGTCTGGTCAATGCAAGCTTGGTCAAACGGAATAAGCTCACAAACAATATGTTTTAAAAGCTGCTTCAGTTAAAAGTTACAGCTAACTCATAAAAATAAACTGCATTGTTACAGAATTGAATTACACAAGGCACCAAGACAAGCCATTAATCAGCTTTTCATTGTTTAAATTGTATCAGTTTTTACTTGTTTGTTAATATTTACATGTATATCACACATTAGTCCTATAATTATGTGCTGTATCTCTGCTTTGTCAGCGCAGAGTGCTACAGGCTGTCAGTCAATGAGGCGAATCAATTCTTAATTCCTTTACTTTCATCATGCATGAAAGCTTTCTTGTCATGATGAAAGCCATTTCCATAAGCTGGAAAACTGTGTTTATCCAAAACAGTCTTTTTATCATTTTCCCGAGAGAATGGTTTGGTCTCAAAAGCATTGACGGGGAGCTTTTGGGATGCACTGACAGACATCTCAGTTTGAACTGCTTTATGGACAAATGGTTTCTGTCCAGGTTTCTGAGCTATCGCAGGGAGGGCAAGCTGCTCCCTCTGGACCTTCTTGTCTTCCCATAGCTTCAGCAAGCGGCGCTGATTATTTGTCATATCCTTGAGATTTTGCTGCAGTGACTGCACTTGATCCTCTAATAGTGTTTTAGAGGTGACTGTATTTGCCAACTCTGAAGTCAAGTCATCAATAGTCAGACTCAGTTTCCCAGCCTTCTCCACCAGGGAAATGCAATCACGGTCCTTTTCATGCAAGTCATTGATTATGTCCTTTGTGGTCTTTCCATTGAACTTGGGGCTGCACTCAAGTCCAATCTCAGTGCGAAGAGTCTTCACTTGTTTCCTCAGCTCTTTGTTGTCCATGGTCAAGGTCTTGAGTTTCTGTTTCAGAGCCTCAGTTGAACGCATCCTCGACTCATACTGTCTGAGCTTCTCTCTGAGGACGTTCTCTCTGTGCAAGGCATCATCTCTTTCCTTTCTGCATTTCTCCAATAGTTTCAATGTCTCAAATTTGGACACTTTTTCACCTTTTGCATTTGAGGTGGCCATCCTATGGTCAGATTTCCAAATCACAATATAAAAAAGTAACTATTAAAAAGGCATTGTCTTCAAATAGAAATTATTACTCACAAGCTACTCAAATAGTCCGTGAGCATTGTGTTGGTAAATCCACTTCACAAGCACGAGCGGCTGCATGCATGCCTGAGACTGAGGCAGGTGACATTCCTCTAACAGGGTTATCTGTTTGACAGGCAGCTCCTGTGTAACTCAAAGCTGGGGCTAGAATGACCATTAATTAGGGCGCCACCATCCCTTTGACACCGTTTCAAGTGACACAATTCTTTTTCTATTTTGTTAATTAATCTAAAAACTTTGCCCTTGTTAATCAACAGAAATACAAAACAGACTTAACAAAGCCCCCCTGCATGTAAGGTGCTGATAACACGCTGTGTGCCTGTAGAAGCAGGCTTTACATACATAAGTAACATTTTCCACTGCAGGTGATCTGTGCATCCAAACAGTGACACCGTAGATTCTATCGGTTTGCTCGACCACACAACAGTTGAGATGGATGAGTTGGAAAAAAGAGCAGCAGCAGCAGCCAAACGTCCAATTTTAAGAGTTAGACGCTGTCTTTGAAATGTTGAAGTTATACCAATCAGTTAGGATCACTCCCTTAAATATTTAAAATGTCCAACTGGTGAAAAGTACTGGCAGCCTTTAACGCTGTCAGGGACAGAGTCACGTTGCCTACACGTGTGGCAGCTGGGGTGATTTAAGGTTGTCATGCCTAAAAAAGATGGTTTATTGACATTTTCAGCTTTTACATGATGCAATTTTCCAGATTCACTGACATTTTTACAAGAATTTTAAAGCAGACACGCTGTTTTTATAGATGACAAATCCAGATGCTCATTATTAGGAAACTAGATGAACACTGCAGACTTAGGGTGTGTTAGATTGTGAGTATGTTTTTCATGTTTTTGATTTAATGGGGGAAAAAAAATCAACATAACAATTACAGTGTTATTTAAAGGTACAGTTACACATTTTGGGAAATAGGCCTTTTTACTTTCTTGCTGAGAGTTAGATGAGGAGACTGAGACCACTCTTGTGTCAACTTCATGTGAGGCTACAGCTAGCAGCCGGTTAGCTTAGCTTAGCTTAGTTTAGCTTAGCATAACGACTGGAAAAAGGGGGAAAAAGCTAGCCTGGCTTTGTGTGAAGGTGACAAAATCCTACCAGCACCTGCAAACTGCAACAATTAATACACACTGAAGTGAAGAGACACATTTCCCAAAATGTCAAACAATCTGTTCATAGAGTTTAATTTGTGCTTGAAAATAGGCTCCAGATGGTCTGTAAATCATTGTCATAATACCTTTATTAATGATAGTTTCATTAATAAAGGTGGGTCCCACAAAGACCACCAAGTCTTATTTTATTTTTTCCCATGAAACATTCATTGAGAACGGATATATTAAATTTCTTACATTTTATCAAATGCATTTTGTCACAATAAAAACAAATGAATCAAAAAATAGTTACACAACTTGCCTTGGACATATATAATGGGTCTTTGGCATTAGTTGAGGGCACTTGTGGTTATATCAGTTAATGCAGTTAACTCTGTACAAGCCTTCAATATCTCACCAACACCTGTAATTGTTGTTCTGCTCATACCAAATATTCTTTACACAAAGTAGACTAGCCAGTACCCATGAACTGAATATAAAAAAATGCATATACAAAAAGCCTTAGATGTCACCACCATTACCGCACAGACTGCTTATCTAAATATATGAACATGAAAATTATAAAGCATAAAACTATTGTACTACAAGAGATCTTCTGTGCTGTGTAACACCATACCCCATTTATCCTTAAGGAAGTTTAGAACCCATCCCATTAGAAATGACATACATGTCACCAGTGTTCATTTTCAGAGGTCACGCGGCTAAACCGAGTATGCACACTGGGTTTTAAGGTCACGAGCCAGAATGTCGGAGTGCAGGTGAAATCCAGACGACCAGTGACTTCAACACCACAGCAACCCGATTCTCTCGAATAAGGCAACAGGAGAACCTGCAATTTAAAAAAGAATAACACTTGCTTTGGGAAGGAGAAATCATGTAGAGGAAGTCCGGTGTCAGATGTTCTGCTCTAGCAGGTCAAAAAAAACACACACTCGAGCCAAAGCCACTAAAATAGGTCAACAATGTGGAACTGCTACAGAAGTATGCGGTCATACTTGATACTATTAAATAAGAGCATAAAAAACAGCAATGAGAAAGTACAAGGTAGAGAAATATGACAAAGGGTTCCCACAGTTTTTTAAAAATGAATTTTCAAAACTTTTCCAGGATTTTTCCATAATATTTTACCCCATTTCCATGACTTTTTTTCAGTAGTTTAAAATGGGGAGGCCCATATGATACATCCTTAAATTTTTAAATGCACACTCGCATATCCGGAAAACCACATTGCACTTGCAAGCTTTACTCTCCTGACATTCGTGCCGTCAACTAGCTGCATGTACCAAGAGACCAGACCAGCAAATACAGGTACTTCACAAAATGTCCAAACCACGCCACTTTAGAAGGATAAAAAAACTGGAAAAGATTCTGTAGATGTCACTGCAATTTAAAATGTGTTTGGATTATAATTTTGACAAGGCTGCATACATTTATTTCTCATCAAACAAATGTTTATGGACTTAACTAATAACTGGCCGGATATTGCTTATCCAGACATCTTCGCACATGTATAGGTGTCCAGATCACGATGATACCTGGTGATTTATCAAATATATTAGACTGAATCACCAGGTATCATTAGGCTGAGTGTTGTGTGTGAATAACCAACGAAGGCTGCTATACTGTGTGACTCTGACTCAAGCTAACGTTAGCAGTCCATCAACATTAACTGTCACCAGCATCATTTAGCAATTTAGCACAACAAAAGTGAATGTTATGTGTAATGTGTGCCTCAAATCTCAGTGTGAAAGCCTAGTTCACCCACTACACAAAAGATTCTCAGCATTTTCCTGTTCCCCTCCTTATGTGATAGCATGTATCTTTCACCCATAAAGGAAGGTGCGGCCTTGGCGATGACACAATGCCAGTCTGGTCTATGTGTATAATGTGATACTAGTGACGTTTCAATGTGGTCACGTGGCGCAGCACTTGATTTTAAATTAGTAATACAAGGAACATATTTCATGTGACTTTAGACATGTTTTGAGATATTTATGAACATATTTTAAGTAATAGCCAAAACATTGTAGATTCATTTTTTTCATTCTGTTAATTCCAAACCAGTCTGTCTTGTTCCATAACTTTTCCAGGAATTTCATGACTGTGGGAAGTTACCCTGTATGGCTTAAACGTATCAGGTTATTAGTGTATTTGTACAGTGGGATCATGGCTTAAAAAGCTTCTGTGTCACTATTGTTTACCTTTAGACAATGAAAGGCTTTCATGACGAAGACGTGGCCTTCACCACCACTGTTGCAGCAGGCGTTTCAGCTGGTAGCGCCGGCTCTGGTTTGCTAAAGAAATAGGCCTGAAAAACCGAACACGAAAAAGAGAGTGTATCAACCCAGTAAAGAGGCAATTACAGTATTAAGAGAAACTACTGATCAATCATAATCTAAAGCCGGGGTGTCTGTGAGTAAGTGTGCTGCAAATGTCCAGTGTAACAGGAGAGAATATATGCATGGACTCCTGCAATCCATTCATCTTGCTCAGCCTTCAGACACGGCTTACTTGTAGACTAATTACATGAATGTGACCAGACATATGATACCTCTGTGCCCCTGACAGCATTCACATTAAGAAGTGCACTAACGGCCCGTTCTCACACCAGTTAGCCAATGCGGTCACAGTTTCCAATGAAGACAGTCTCCCCAGAGGGAGTGAACTTGACACTGTCAGGTATAGTCATTTCCCAGAAACACACAGGGCGAGACACGCAAAAATGTCCGTGTAGTGTAGTGTCTGTGATTGACACAGACAAGTTGGGTCAAAGCTTGGCCATGCTACTGAGATCATTGAGGACAAATGAGAGTGAGTCAGTCATTGTTGTTATCTACACCAACATGGACAGGCAGCTTGATTCAACTGGATTAATGACGTTGTAGTTTGCCAAAGCAGGACAATGAATGTTGTATCTCATTTCCCCTGACAGATTTATTTTCCATATCGCTCAAATTTGTAATTAACCTTAACAGTAATTTCATAACTATAGTGAGTAACCTTACCTTACAGCCAACAGCGAGCAGGGCGTTGAGCACAACAATAGCTGACATGATTCCTATCATAACTTTGGGGTGGTCATCCCTGACTGCAGGCCAGAAAGTCATCACTAGAACTGAGCCGGAGAGGCAGAGAGCCACGACGATAGAGCACCACCTCAGCCATTCATATGGAAGAATCCATAGGACCTTAAGTAGGAAACAACAGTGCGTTATATAATATGTCTCATTTTGTCAGAAATATTACACACAATCAATGCTCTAAATGTATTTATGCACTGAATTTATGTAATGTGTAGCAGCCACATTACATTATGATGAAAGGTAACATTATTTTCTATGATATGCAGTCATTCAATACAGTGTTCTAAAATAAATTTACATGATATATTGAAAAATTAAAGGTCCAGTGTGTAGAATTTAGGGGCATCTATTGTCAGAAATGGTATATAGTATTCCTAACAATGTTTTCAATAGTTTATAATCACCTAAAGCAAAGAACTCTTTTGAGTTTCCGTTACCTTAGAATGACCTATCTGTATCTAGATACAGAGCGGGTCCTCTTTCACGGAGTACACCGTGTTGTTCTACACTAGCCCAAAAACGACAAACCAAACACTGGCTCTAGATAGGGCCATTGGCATTTTTTGTGTCAGCCACTGTAGTTCTCCTACATGTTTGGCACATGGGGGAAGTTTCAGTTCTGTAACCTCATGACTTGATGCCAATAATTCCTACACACTAGACCTGTAATCACATGCTGTATTCAAATATTCCATTATTGTCAATGTTATCAAATGTTGAAAGTAAGTCTCCTATACTTTTTCTTGTTGTCAACAAATCCAATGAAAAGACGAAATCCAACTATGAACTGATCCGACTAACAAGTGCGACAGTACACTCGGGACTTTATACAAAGGTAGCAACCAGCTGCCAGACCATAAACAGCAGGCATCATAGAGACACAGCGCTGAAAAAAATGCAAATGTAGGGAGGCAAAACGCCAAACAAGTGTGAATCTGGGGTTGGCTTATTACTTTCACGTTCACTGATGAGCGTGAAAGCAAAACGTAACTGGCAATGCTGCATAGCGTACCCTAAAGTGTTCTTAAACAATATATATATATATATAGTTATTTATTTAAACTGGTTAGAAAATTACTGAGCGTTTTTGAAAACGATAATGTTGTTACCCAATTTTGAATGATTACATCATCAATAAGACCAAAAGGGCTTGAAGCTGAGTGCCACAGAAGTTTGAAGTCTTACCACCGCTGGTATGTAAATCGCAAGGGAATATCCATACACGCAGACGATCTCCATAAAGGAGTATGACACTAAGTTCATGATCTTGTTGTTTCTCCACAGCAGGAACCCCCACAGGGCGAGCGGCACAAACCAAGCATAGCTGAAGATCGCTGTTGCAGCTATGGTCACTAGAAAACACAGACAAGTCAAAAATATAAGACTTTTTAAAGTTTCCTCTTACGTTCAACCTTAACAAGTGAGTCACGAATACCAGAGAATAACAGAACCTACCTTTTTGAAACTCTGGGGTGTACTTATAGTTTGGTTTGCCTAAGTGCACCAGGAAGTTGGAAATGTTTCCACTGATGGCAATTGCAAAAACAAGGGTGGTACAGATCCAGAATGGTCCTGAAAGCACAAATATCAAGTATTAGTACATCAGTTTGTGAGCAGCTTTGGTTTCTTTAAACTATACTCTTTATAAATATTACAGAATTTGGACAACAGTTCAGAACATGAATGCAAAATATGTCATCCCTCAACCTCTAGTTAGGACATAAATGTTAAACTGTTTAAATGCTAACCATAAAGATCAGGATTTCTGCGAAGGTAGACATGGATGAAGTTCTTTCCAGGCCATGGCAGCATTGATCCAATGATTCTTTCCCTTACCTGAAAGAAATGTAGATAACCATTACATATGTAAGTTCATAAGACCTACATGTGTTCTGAACTACTCCATATTACAAGACCAAATGTCACAGTGGTTAAAAGTCATTAAAATAAGTTAGAAATATATTACGTGATGGGTCTCGATGTCAAAAAATCTTTGGTAGTACTCAAACGTCCAGAAAGGGACATTTTTCTTCTGCCCGGAGAGAAGCTTCAATTGAAAAGAAGAAAATGGAGAAAAGCAAAATTAGTCAAATAAGTATTTGATGCAACAACATTTAATGTTTCACAGTAATTCATAAAAAAAGTGTTAGTGTTTTACAGACCTCTTCCTTGTCATCACTGGCAAGTGGGTCCTCGTCATCACCACCAGGAGTGTACCCAGCAGCTTTGCTCTGCCTCTCAGGTTTGGTATCCTCATCTTCAATGCTAATGGTGATTGCGTCTCTGTTGGCTTCTAACAGATTGCCAGCTTCTTCAAATTCTAATTGCAAGGCATGGATAAATGGAAAATTTTAATCCAACATTTGAACATTTTAGTCAACTATCACTGTTGCTACCAATGCAGCACAGGGAGATTTCTGACAGATGTGCGTTTCCAGATGCCTGAGAGAAATAACACAATAAACTGCAGCAAAACATCAATGACGCAATTTCAATGAGTAAAAGACTGAGGAGGACTCTCACCTTGAAATTGGAATGGATCATTTGTGGACGCCATTTACACGGATACACTCTCCGTGACGGGGCTCCTCTGATAAACTTGTCGACAACTTAATGTAGCACTCTCACAACAACGTAATTATAGAAAGCTGTGGAGAAGACAAACATGTGATGTTCAAGCTCCTACGCCTTATTATTCCTTTCACGTATGCTAGTTTCAAACGCTGTAAACTATGAGCAATACAGGAACAAAAGTAGCAACGTGTGTTAGCTTAAGTTAGCTAACGTTACCAAGTCCAATCTTGACACATCAACAACTAAATAGCTAACGTTAGCTTCCGTTGCTAACTGCCTATTGTGACTCTACGACTGGGAAAAATCGTAAAAGCCTCGATTTATTTTTTAAAACACACTGCAAATTTTTAGTTATCTTTTTAAAACATCAAATGCTTACCAAATTATCTATTAAAAGTGATAAAATCATCTCACTCTCTCACCTGGATTAGCATCGGCCGAAACAGGATATACTGGTCATGTAAACAAGACTTCTTCCTGTTACTAAATACTTTCAAAGTAAGGGTTTTAACAGTTTGAATTTTACATATATATGAGTATATAATAGTTTATTACATGTTATCTTTTAAGAAGTTTATTTAGGTTACGCTTTTGCCTCTTATTTGGTATTTTGGGGGTTTTAAGCGAGTTTCTGATAGCGATAGCCTTTTATTTTGAAGTTAGCTAGCAAAACTGCAACTGTGACAACTTGCACGGTAGGCTACAATAAGGAAATGAAAACCCTTGTAAAACAGGGCATAGTGCGGAATAATTTAGCGTTATAAAACGAATACGATGAGACACGATAGCAGATAATAAGAGAGTCTTGCTCAAGGCTTAGGGTTCGTTTTGGTTTTGATTTTAACTCAGTCAATGACTATGGATTAGCTAGCTAGCAAGCTATATTGGGTTTTTGCAATGCTTCAGGTGTTTAGCCGGCTAGCTTACTAAACTTGTATTTAAAAGTTTTATCATTCTCATGTGAAAAGAGCAAGTGTGACCTTACTATGGACAATAGCACCATTTATGTCCGAGAGAGAGGCAACCTTCGTCGTGTCCGTGGCATAGTCCTGGCACAACTAAAGCCAGTGTCATCATGCAGAAGGACAAATCGGTTTGTGCTGAGAAAAGAGCACTTCATATTCACCTACAATGCGGAGGGAAGTCTGAGATACACCACAAAATCTCTCTTTGACATCACTCTGTTATTCGTAGCTGACAACATTCAACATGTGGACTCTCTGGTGGGTTTCCCTGAGCAGATAGGTGACAGACTTTTTGCAGCAGCAGAGGAGAATCGTGTATTTTTAAACGCAGACATTTCTCCAAAAGCTTTGCAGTTATTCAGTGATGCATATGGGGAGATGGTGCTGGGATCCCTCTGTCTGAGAAACAGGTAAGTTATATCAGCATATCTCCAGCCTTCCAGTTTCATTTCCCAGAGACAGCAACAGCATCTATTGTCCCTTTCTTTTCAGATTTCCACTCTTGCACGAGAGGATGGATGAGATAAAAACATTTCATAGTTTGAAGTCACTGGATCTGTTTGGCTGCAGACTGGGGGATGATCATGAGATATTCCAGCATCTAACATCCAGCTCATTGGCAAGGTAATACCTGATTTCTCCGTCCCAAAGACATGATGTGAGAATTTCAGAAGTGGTGTCACTAACACTTCTGCTTTCCTTCTTCAGCAGCCTGATTCAGCTTTTCATTGGTGGCAACAGTCTGTCAGATGCCGGCCTACAAAGATTGACTGCACCTATCCGGATGTTGAGGAAGGGACTGGACTGTCTTCAGTTCCTTGATGTTTCCTGTTAGTATCAAAACCTTCACATTAAAGAAATTGATGATTGAATGAATGAAGTTCATGTCCATCATTAACATGTTGATTGATTACTCTGTTTCTTGCACAGATAACCCTATCTCAGCAAGGGCTCTAAGATATCTCACATGCCTCCCCAAACTTGAAAATCTTGATGTATCTGGGACCAGTTTGAAGGTACGACAGTTACGGTTGTGTGCAACACTTGGCTGCAGCCTATTGTGATGCTGACTTCTAAATGTAATTTATACCTCCAGCTTGGCACAGGGTTGAAGACAGCCATATGGGACCTGCTGGGGCTCATTTATTCCGAGAAACCACTGGACACCTTTGATCACTCAAGATGTAAAACAGCAGGTTGGGCCGAGCAGGTAAATATTTTCAGACATTGATAAAAGTAAACATATGTCTCTCTAAGGCAAGCAGTGTTCTTTAATTACAGATGTAGGGCTGTTTGACATCTCATTAAGAAATACAATGATTCATTTTCAGGTTGTGAATCAGTGGGAAACAAACGGCTCACAAATGCCAAAACAGAAGAAAATTGATGAATCCAGAACATCAGCACTTCGCTTTTGTAAGTTCATCGTACAATGCATTCACATTGTAATTAGCTGTGTCTAAAAGTCGAGATTATAACAAATCATCTGAGATAGACTTGAAAGTGTTTTGTTCTCTAGTCGGCAGGCAGAAGTTTGTCAGAGAAGTACTGAACGCAGCACCCTTGGTGTGTGACGAGGATGAGGCCAAGAGAGAGATACTGCATTTCTTCAGACCTGCAGCAAACGATCACAAACCAGAAAAGCAGACTCCTTCCACAACACATCATCAAGCAGTGCCTTCGTGGCACAATATTAAAAAAAGGCAGCGTCAGTCGGAAAGGCGTGACAGTTCACATCAAAGTCCTCCAGCGAAACGTCTGCCCTCATCATCAGCTCTTACTGCAGAGGACATTGACTTGTTGAACAGCTATTAAAGAATGCGACTATATAGCATTCCTCAAATACCATTGACCTTTAGGCTCAAGTGAAAAAGAACAGTTTCCAGGATGATTCACACTGTTGAACTGTGAAGTCTTTTTCTTGGATACGGGTGCTGTTTGTATATTTTTATAAATAAAGTTTAGTATTTTGTTTGTGTTCGCTGCCTTGCCTGACATTTTGCTGATTAGTAACAAAACCTAGCTGATTTTTTTGCCTTCTTCATGACTATAGGCATTATGCTTTTGGGTTGTTGGTCCGCCCATCCCTCCGTCCAATTCCCGTGAATGCAAGAACACCTTGAGATAATTTCTTCAAATTTAGCACAAACGTCCACTTCAGCTCAAGAACTGATTGAATTTTGGTGGTTAACAGTCACTGTGACCTCACAAAACATGGTTTGGCCACAACATAAACAAACAGTTCACAGATATATCTAATAGGATAAAATAATGAAGTGATGACATTTTATATCCAAGGGTTAAAGGTCAACTGCGCTGTGACATCATAATGTTCTGCACTTCTGGCCATTACTCAACATCATATCTCAGAAACAGAAGGGAAAACATTTGGTCAGATACTGAATTGGTGACACTAATCTTGAGTGTCCATCTTGAAACTTTGGTGATTGTGATGTATATGAAGCATCCACATTTTCACAGACATGGATGTAAACTGTAACTGCAACTTGACTTGTTAGCAGAGACTTACAACCACAAGGTGGTAATTCTAGTTAGACAAGTGTGCTCATCAGACCATATATGGCAGTGTTGTAGGCAAATTACATCAATACTGAATTACTAACTGGGCACAGCAGACAGCTGCCCTGCCATGCTTGCAGTGTGTGATCCAGTTCCATGCTAGTCTGATTGAGAATTTGTTTGGGAACATGCAGCACTGAAACTTAACGCCAACGGACATGATAAAGACCTTAAAGGAGTTGCTGTATTATTGAATTTTATAGCACCGTTTTGAAGAAGGTCCCTGTGCAAGGTTTGTGTTCATGGTTTGTGTATTTGTAAATTATTTTGTTAAAAATAAATTCAGCACAGATTTATCATCGCACTGGTATGTTGTCAATTCGTGTAGTCTTATTTATTCCACACATTCTTTTTTGTCAGAACTTGATTTCTACATTACCCACAATGCAACTTGAACTCTAACATTCAGCCTGAGAGTCAAGTGTTTTATGCTTGTAGCTGCTAATGTAGTCTCGGCCCGCTGCAGCTGTCTGGTAAACTCATTCCTTTCTCTCTCCATGCCCTCAGATTTTTTTCATTTGCAAAGATTTTATCAGACCCCGCACAGCTCCAACTAAAGCCACAAAAGACTGCAATAGTACTTCCCAAGTCCTGTAAACAGACTGTGATGTGTAAAATCGGTGCAGTTCCGCTGTAAATCAAATTACCACACAGCAAATCTGGAGGCGAGGTGGTACTCACAGAAAAACTCTACATAGCACAGAGAGTGGGGGGAAAAGAGGGAAAGGTTAATAGGGGACCGTCGGCTAATTTTTGACTCTGGGCAAGGTTAATCAGCAGGCTAATTCAGTCATGAATTAAACCTTTTATGTACTGTGTAATTGCTGCATGACATGTCACCTCAGAGCAGTCAACACACAGTCATTTAAATCATCAAATACAAAGAGACAGTTCTGCAGGTATTCACACATATGCAATGATATGCTAGGAAAATGGCTGGGTATGCCTAAAACCTGAGAAGAGGAGCACATAATGCTTAAAATAATATACTAATATAGTAATGTTAGGTTCCAGTAGAAAACAAGTCGTGTGATGATTCATTAAAGCACATGCAAGCCCTCAGAGTCTTCACCACCTGGTTACTGAAATTTGAGCAGGGGTGTTAAACATACAGCCTGCATCTTTGCTTTCTGCTCTCAAACTGTCAAATTTCGCAACTTTTTCTCAATTTTTTTCTAAATCACACTTTTGCAAACTCGTCCCAGACCCTTGATCCAGTCGACCCAAAATTTTGGATTATCCACAGACATCACTGATGCCCAGTAGCTCACCTGGTAGAGCGGGCGACCCATGTACAAGGGCTCTGTCCTTGCCACAGTGGCTGTGGGCTCAATTCCAACCCATGTCCCATTGTTGTATGTCATCTCCTCTCCCTCTCCCTTCCACTCTCAAGCTGTCCTTCCTAATAAAGGCAAAGACAGCTTAAGCGCCTGTAAGTAAACTTGTGGATAAGTGTGGATGCTCTGTAGGGGGCACCACAAAAGGAAAAAGTTTAGATCTCATAGTCAGCTACAGAGATTCATATGAAATTTGGTTAGCACCATCTAGGGTCATGACTCACTCAGCCGATGCATAAAAGTTGATTATTGCTTGAAGGGGGAGTGGCTTATTACAATAAAACTACATTTCAGGTCATTTACCATTCCAAACTCCAAAAAAACTTTAAGTGGTTGAGAATCCTTTCTGAACAAATTCACTAAAGCCTTGGACAGAAACCAGCAGGTTTATGAGTGTTTCTTTTTACAGGATTGTATCCCAAACAGTTATGTGAGTATTTTAAGTTGTGTGACCTCCCTCTCTCTGCCCTCTGCTACTGCTTATCCTGTTTTACTTAATAGCCCAGAGGGCAGGGTTGAAGAGTCAGGAAACTACCTGCACCTGGATAGATGATACAAGTTCTGCCCATCTTTTGTGAACTGTTGTGGTTTAAAAGTTGAAATGCTTTATCCTGTGCTACTTGTTGATTCCCAACTATACCTCCCAATCTTCTGTTACTTGTAATGTAAGGCCAGGGTTGAGAGTTCAACTCCTGCTCGTCATCCTGAATCTGACTCTTTGCATTTTCCAGGATAACTTTTGACACTTTACACATAGTACCACTATTTGTGTATAAATAAATTGACGAGATGCATTCCAGATCTTTAACAAAATAAAATTTCAATAGGATTAAGTCAAGCAAAACACATTTTCACCGAACCCAACATATTAAATATTTTGCTTCTTGTCAGTGAAAAAAGAGAAGCAATTAAATGCTTGCAATCTGCTTGGACGTCTTGTAACTGGATCAACATTTTCAGAATGTTCTTTACGCTGAAAGAAAAGGAAAATTTGTGAGATGTTATTTATAGATCATTATGCAATGGATTTACTTGTCCAGCCCAGGAACTGACATGAGTCTGACACCCTTGAATTACAGTGGTGATAAGCCCTGTCATCACACAGGGAAGTAGAGCTACTCTCTGCAGTCTTGCTTTAACAACTGGCTGCTGAATGGAGAAAAAAACACTCTACATCGCTAAGTTTAAATCATTTTCACAGGAAATGGTCACCACAGCTTTTTATGTCCAGCAGAATGTTACAAAAAAAAAAGAGGAAGCACTATGCCCCATGTTCATAGCATTGTAACCTGAGAACACTGTGTCCTACTGTGCTGAGTTTGACGTAGACGTGTGTGCAACCATTTTTTAAATGTTTACCGATAGACCTCAAGTTAGCTGCGGTATATGATTGAAAAAAGTCACACCCACATCAACAACTTCACTCCATTGTATTTAATCTGATCCATCAGTATGAGAACAGTGAAGCAGGAAAGACCTACCGTGTGTACCGTCATTTTTAATTAAGCATAAGAGCAAAGAATTTTATTGTAAAACTCAACAAATCATCTGTGAATCACGGCAGTAAAAACATGAGAACAAACAGGGAGAGTCTGCGATATTAGCACAATCTATTTTACCAAAAGTTGAGGAGATGGGTTGAAACCTGCATCACTTCAAGTCACAAAAAGATCATTTAGCCATTACTCAATAAAATAAGCACACCAACAGGGATCTAATGCACACATCCAAACTGGAAAAAAAAAAAAAAAAATCCCAGAACATATTTTACTTTCACCACCATCACTACACTATAATGCCTCAATTATACCAATATACAGAAAAAAAACCTTTTCATCACTCCAATTTTAAAAGCGTCAAAGGGAGACGAGACATTATATCAGTAATACAAAATGTTCTGCGAGTAGTTACTTCTGTTTTTAGAGAAGCGCAGGTCTTGTGCCAGAGGATAAAAATCAATTTAAGATTATTCATAAAAGAGGAAATCCCTTCTCTGCTACAGCTTTGGCTTCTAGATGTTGGACTGGCCCAGGTCGACTTTGGAAGGGAGCGGCCCGGCCTCTTCTTCCAGCCCTTTGGAGGTTATGATCAGCAGGGAGGACGCTGGGTATGGGGTCAGCTTCTGTTCCTTTATGTACTCCCTGTCACCATAGATGCTCAATTTCTGAGGGAAAAATAGGGAAACTGTTGAAATACCGTTTTGGCTTGAGACATTTTTGACACTGTCGAAATAAATGGCACTCAAATTAAAAATAATCACAACCTGCAATATAACTGAAACCATATGGAAAGAAGAAAACATTTTGGAAAATACAGTAATATGCCTCTGTTTTCTTGCTGAGAGTTGGATGAGAAGATCAATGCTGCTTTCACGTCTGTGCGGGAAATATGAAGCCATATTCAGAAACAGGAAAACAGCTAGCCTGCCTCTGTCTGGAGTTTTTATCTTGTTTATTTGATATGCACAAAAATGGAAGTGTAAAGACGATAGCTGCTATGCAACGCTAGGAGAGTTGCTAATCATGCTAAGAAAAAGTCTGATAATTGTTCGTTGTTTTTACACTTCTGTTTTTTGTACAGATTAGACATGCAACACACACACTGTGTTTGTGAGCTTTAGAGATGCTGGTCAGCAGAGTTTGTTACCTTTGGACAGAGCCAGGCTAACTGTTGTTTCCTCCCATTTCCAGTCTTTATGCTGAGCTAAGCTAACCAGCTGCATGCTCCAGCTACATACTCACACTACAGACATTAGAGGGGTATATATGTTCTCATCCACGTCCCAGCAAGAAAGTGGACATGTGCATTTCCATAAATGTCAAACTAATCTTTTAATCTCTTAAGGCCACAAACATAATCAGCAATTACCTAAAAAAAAAAGGCAATCAATCATAGGGAGCACAGAAACAAAACTACAGCACCCTGTAATTACACAAAACAAACCTTTACCTAGATTGACCTTGTTATGTTAATCCAGGTGACAGGAGTCTTAAAATAAAAAAGGAGAGCACAGAACGTACCTCAGCAGGTACATACTGGTCTACAGCAGTTGCCACGGTGG